TCCACGTCCCTAGAGCCAGCTTCTGTTGCCGAGGATTAGACCCCCAAGGTCCTCACCTTCAACCACTGCCCAAAACACATTGCACCCGACCCCTACGGCCCCTCCCACAGGTGGCGAGCCCATGGGAAGGGAGACCCATATCTTCTCTTCGGGCTGTGCCCAACTGGGCTCCATGGGCAAAAGCCCAGCCACCAGGCACTCGCCAACATGCCCCACCTCCAGGCCTGGCTCCAGAGGGAACACTAAGTCCATCTGTAGGGGCTATCATAAGGGGTCTTTGGGCTGTGCCTTGTCTGATCCCTCACCTAGGACCTGTTTGCCTTGGGTGACCCTACCGCTGGCATGAAGCCCCTGACAACAGAGCTTCAATGTTAGAAATGTGTTCAGTTGGAGTATTTAATTCATGCAGTAAGATACTGAATATTTGGGGTGTTATCAGCCACAAAACACCTTTTAAAATAAATAAACAAAAAAATATTTCAGCTGCTCCTTTCTGCAGGCAATGCTACAGTGACTGGACTCCCACAAAGGATTTAGCAGTTGTTTTACTGTGGACACCCTTCCAGACCCAAACTTGCAGCCTCAGGTTTACGAGACCATGCCTCTGACCACCAAGCAACCACAGCCCCTACACAAAACACCAATACAGTGAATGCTTGATAAAGAATCATACTGAGTAACCAGGCAATTCCAAGAGTCATAACAAGGATATGAGTAATACAGTTTGGCCCATTGAMGGCCTCTGGATCAGAATGGTTTTGCATGACAGAGATCTCTATCAGTGACGGGTTCCTGGGGATGAGCTGGAGGGTTTCAGGGGGTGGTCCAGTCGACAGGTGATGGACTAAAAAGCTTCAGTTAAAGGGGATAAATGAGACACAGGAATGTGATTTTTGCCTTGAGTTACTCAGCAGGGGCAGGGTGTGGGGGAATATGGAAAGAGGGAAAGATAATTGCATGGGTGTGATACTTTCTCACGAGATATATTTAATTTTGGGCCACAGTGTGGTATCAACTGAGCTTTACTAAACACTTAATTTTAAAACAGATTATATTCAGTAAAATAATTGTGAATATGCTAATTAGATTTCTGCTAAGTCATCTTAGACTTTAAAAATATTGTTATTACATGCTAGTGTCTCTAATATAATTGATAGATGAAGATAAAGGCAGAGTCAAGCCTTTTTGTCTGTTAGTGAAATATCTCATGAAACACTGAATAAATTTCAGTTTTACTCTCAGAGAGGGATTCTTGGCTGTCCATCTAAAACTGAAAATAAATTGGACTCAACCTGATTCAAGACAGCCACCACAGCCAAGTCGGTYTAGAAAACACAAAAAAAGGGCTATGTTGCAATACATTTTACAGATATCGGGCTCAAATTTGGTGTGTTAGTAGCTAACAGTCATTTACAATGCATACATTGAGCATTAACAAATCCCACAAGATCTTGCAGTATTACAAGGCATTACACAAAATGTGATTTTAAAGATTTGACCAAAACAGTTATAATTCCAAACTTATCATATAAAACTCTGGGATGACAGGTGGCGGGTGATTCTTTCAATCAATGGTTTTGATTATAGCTTGTTTTGCTGATTAAAAAGTAATGCCTCAACGATTAAAAGTGGATTAACCCGGTCAGGATATCTTTATCTTCAGGCCCAGAACATTCTGTTCAGAGTCGAGTGACAGTCAGAATACACCAGCACTCATGCTGAGAGAATGATAATGAAGATTGTCATTCAAACTAAATGATTCAACATTTTTGTTCCTCTGGAGATGTTTCAAGGCATAACTCCCAGGTTATGAAAAGCACCGAGTTGATGTTAGTGAAACAAATGGACCTGTTGCGTTACAGCTGTCTAAACAGAGTACAGTGTTTTCACCCCAGGAGATGGTAACTGTCTCATGCACAGGTAAATTAGTCTTACCTCATCTTTTCACAGTACAGGAATTACAGCTCTGCACAGCTGAAGGATTTGAACTAAAAGATGACAGTTGCCAGACAACACACAATACCCGGGAACACTTATTGACGTTTCCTCCCAGGTTCAAAAAGACTCGCTTTCATCCTTGAACTTACATGCTGTCCAAAGCAGACGGCATGTGAGGCTTATCTCTAAAAAAAAAACAGTACTTATAACCAAGTGAAGCGTTCTTTTTCCTCCCCAAAAAACAGCTTCCAGCTAAGCACAAGGGGACAGCAGCAGCATACCATTATATTAGTKCTGAGTGCCAATCTTCTGTCAGGCTACATTTGAACTCAACACATCGTCCACATTTGTCAAAAACCCGAGTTTTAAGTCCAGCAAAATTTGTTAGGAGCAAATTTAAAAGGGATGTTGGGCAGACATCAAGAGCCGGGCTGCAATTTTTTTTAACGTCTTCACTTTTTAGAGTTTTGGGTTCACACAATGTCAATTTTTAGTGACATTTAGAAATACAACAATGATCTTAAAGCTAAAAAATGCGCATTTTATTGATAGAACATGTGTATTATTTTTTCCCCCTTCCTGCAGAACGAGACTCCAGACCTAACCAAGGAGCAGTTGCTTGGCCTGCTGGATGAATGTGAGCTGACAGAAAGCTGGATCTCAGATCATCAGAGGAATGAAGCAACATCGTGGGACAGTTAAAAAACATCCGACTTGTCCATCTGTAGCTCTGCTGTTAGTGCGCATCACATCATCTTTTCCTAAACCAAAAGGAACTTGTTGTTTTTATTTTTAAAAAGGGCTATTATTAGAAAATTACTGTCTTAAAATGAGGTTGGATGACTGAAACTCTTAGCTGGATTGATTATATAGCCTGTTGATTTTATTTTGTTGTGAATCTCTCCAGGAGGAAACAGAGCAGCAGGTGCTTTTTGTAAAAATCTATTACTAGAGCTCCACAGTTTATCGCAAATTTATCATCATCATAACGGCCTGTGCAATAGCCAAAAAATGTGTAAACTGCAATAAATGGTTGCTTCGAATCTTTGCATTTATGTTTTATTAGCATCAGTCTGAYAAAGTGGACYAGAGCAGTGGTTCCCAAACTTTTTATCTTCTGACCCACAAAATACCCATGGCAAAAACTTGTGACCCCAAATATTACTGGTCTGAGTACACGAACTTCTTAAATAACCCTAAAAATACAGGATTTTGGACAATCTAAACAGCTTGTACACAAATGTAAATACTTATTTATACTTATTTTGTGTTTATGTAATAATTATAGGGGAAACGTTACATCAGCAATTATTTTATTACCCTTTAAATTGATTTCTAGAGATTATCCAAGGTCCTTCATGACCCATAATTGGGTTCCAAGCCCAACTTTGGGAACCAAAGTGCAGTGGTTCMCAAACTTTTCAGCTTTTGACCCACAAAATAACAGTAGCAGAGACCTGTGCCCCCAACTATTTTTGGATGATAAACATTTGTATCAGGTCAACAAAACATGGGCACAGTAACAMTATTTTTATACTACATTTATCCATTTTAAATACACTAACCTCACTCCTTTGTAACAACTAAGGCAAAAAATGTAATTAATTCAGAAAATATTTTCAGGACCCCACCTTGATGTTTCGGGACCCCACTTTGGGTCCCGACCCTAACTTTGAGAAACACTGGACTAGAGATACCACATCAAATCATAACCTCTTAGTCAGTGGAGAAAATGTTGCACAATTGCAATGAGAGAATTTTTTAATTTTTTAATTTTGCTCTTAACCCAGAGTAGAAAGACATCAAAAGTGCGTACATTAAGCAGTGTCATCGCACATTGCATGTTTTCCTGATATCGTGCATCCCTAGTGGTCACATATACAACCTGCCACAGGGATGTTGCGTGCTTGATAAGAGTGATGTGCATTCCAGCCAWTCCTGCCTCTTGTGGTGATTTGTTCCGAGGGACTCACATTAGCAGGATCCTGAGCGTCATTTTCATTTAAATCTGCGAATTCCACTGACATCTTTAGAGAAATGATCCGCGCAGTTTAGCTCACGTGTGGAAGCTGCTGACACCRTGTCCATTTTGCTCCTGTTTGCACCTGGCCGACCTTTTGCCTGGACACCTGTGCACATGCACGCCTCGCTCCTTCAGCTCATGCACGTATTCTGAGCCCTTTTGAAATGGCAGAGGGACGGTCTCAGGTTCCTCTTAACTCAAAACATATTATCCAGAGCAACATGTTAAATCCCATCAGGATGCCAGCGCTGCATTGTCTCCCCAGGAATCCAAACAGACACCTCAGCAGTGGCTTTGAGGAAGCATATGATATCACTTTACGGACTGATTGCACAAGATGGAAGCAACATTTTCCCTTATTTCTAAAGGATATGCCACATTTTTGTCCAGTACATGTATGTGATCCACACGAAATGTTTCCAGTGTGGAAGCTACTATATGATGCTCGGTTTGGGTAATGGAAACCCATGAGCTCATTCTGGTAAGAATGAGGTCACTCCTAATGTAAAGAGACCTGCAACAAACTCAGTTATCTGAAACTCAGACTGTCTGTGTTTCAGATAACAGCTCTTTTTCTAACCATGTGAAAGATTTAAATTAGCTGCTGGAATTCTGTTTGCAGATGATCCATTGGTGTTGATGTATAGCTCAGATAGCTTGTGTGTTTAAATGAAGGAAACAGGCACATTCTGAAGTACACCACAGCCATAACTTCATCTCGCTTCCAAAATGTTGGTCAATTTATCAGTCAGAGATGCAAAACTCCTTCTGTCTACAGCTCGAGTTCTGTTGTTGTATGAAGATGTAAGGAGATGCCCATGCAATTGATAAGATGTGAAAGGATGTGCTGCTTAAGTAGATTATACTTCATGTGGAGATTTTTGGCTATGTGCTCCCAAACTTTCACCAGACTCAACTAATAGATTAGTTACCCTGCACAGCAACGCTCATCTTTTTGAGAATTTCTAGGGAGAACACTATAAATTAAAACAATTGCTGAACAGTTGATGCTTTTAGCTACAAATCACCAAGAGTCTTCTTATCATTTTCTATATGTTTATTGTTCAGTTGACATGATAAAAAAAAACAAGAGTATAAACAGCACTATGGTACAAATGTTTATAGAAAAGCTTCACTAATAATAAAAAAGGACATACAAAAAAATCAAAAAAACAAAAAACAAAGACATCCTCATGTCAGTGTGCAAAAAGGTTTATACAGATAGAAACGCTTCCGTAAGAGGTTACACCTCTAGATAAATTATTTAAATAGCATATATCTACACAAATAAACCATAAACAGAATAATTTATCAAAAGAGCACAGGAAATACATCAAGCAAAACAAGACAACATGGATTTTTACCCTTTCCTGTTTAGGTTTACTACAAAAATATCTCATATACAGCATAAAAATGATACAAAAGTCTTGCTTTAAAAAAAGAAAAAGAAAGAAAGACAATGAAGCCAACATTTTTTGTTGTTGCTACAAGTGATTCTTGTGTGTTGCTGGCCTCAACACAAAACAAATATGAGGTAATAATTGTACACAAAGGGTTTCCTTTTGCCCCACTTTTGTCAGAAACACAAACCTAGGCACACTGGTCATGCACACTGTGCCGAAGCAGAATATTTCATATTTTTCTCCCCCGATTAGAAGTCATTTTATATATTTAAAAGGTGTTGATTTCAGGTGCTTGCAAAAGGCTCCTAAGCAAGTTRCATGAGATGAATAAACCCAAAGGTTATACTTTTTACAGAAACTTGACTAACCCTCATTGTTTGAGTCCCCTGTTGTTCAGTAAACACAAAAGGTATAATTTGCTGATAATTTATCTTATGCCATCTTGAATTTTCTGCAATCCTGCTAGCGTTTTGACATTTTCTTTCCTGAGAGGAGTAAAGTACTGGGCCAGCTCTACGTCTCTTCTACAGACGAAACCATGTCTGTAACAAACGGTGTGAGGAAGCATCAGAGTAGTTCAAACTAAATTTCAAATCAAATTTTCTTCATCGCTTTGCTTGTTGGGTTGTCACACATGCAGAAACGCACAACATTCACTCTCTTTAATAGTAACAGTCATTCCATACTGTCCGTGGTCCCTCAACAGCTCCTTCATGGGTGATTTTTTTTATCCCCCGCCCCAAAAGTTCTCCCAACTGCTTTCTTCATATTGAGCAATGCATCTTTGAGTCCACAGCAGATGTATGTTAATGCTCCACAAAATATTATAAAAAAATAAACACTCTTCCCTTTGGTCCCTCGTCCACAGAGGAAAAACAGTTCAGGTGTGCAAAGCAAAAAATAAAAATTWAAATRAAAAAATAAAAGAAAATGTGTCCCTCTTTCAATGCAGATCAGATTGAGAGCTCACTTCTTAGCAGAGCCRAACTCACAATCTTTTTTTTCTTTTGGTGCAGGCTTATAATTTTACTTTCATTTGGCTTTAACTCATGAGGTCCCTTTCCCCCATGTTAGCTCACTTGCCTCCAATGTGCAAACCTCAGAGAAAAAACTGAAATCGATCCGGACCGTTTATGACAGATCTGCACTGATACATTCTTCTGGAAAGTTGTCGGGGGTGCAGTTATGTATCTGAAAGAAATCATAAGCAGACATGTTGAGATAAAGTCCAAAAAGATAAGTTGTTCTTAAGTGCTGAACTACTGTGTCTAATCTTACCTTTACATTCATATTTAAGGTCTGAGAAGTAAACCATCTCTTGAGAGAAGACATACAATCCAAGCCGCCCACCAGCGTATGTTTTGTCATAGATATTTCCAGAATCAGCCATTATTTTCTTGCCTTCATACATGATCACTCTAAAAGAAACACAATCGCATGAGCTCAGAACTGTTTTTATGGACTGTGTTTGCTCTTGATTGAGGTTTTAAACTTACCTAATAAGTCCAGTCTTGGGTCTGTGWATGAGATGCCATCTGTAAGCAGTGAAGTCCTTCCACCCAATGTTCTTGGGGTCGTGCCACAGAGTGCGCACCTGAAAGTGCAAATTGGCAACGTTCAAAATGGAAATTGCATCAAACATGATTTGGAAGTGATTCCAAGTGGCYACTAGAATTTGCTCTCACCTGTCCTGGGGTATCGCCAGTGTGCCACAGAGCATTTCTCAAGTGTTCACCAGGTCCTGTGGTAGAATTGACCACTTTGATTGACAGGCCAGAGTAGCCTTGAGCTCTTGTAGGCGTGTTGGACCAGTAGGTCTGTGTGATCTGTTTCCACATCACCGTGTAGAAGCGGGAGCTAGATTGATAGCCAAACACGAACCCAGCATAGTCGTCATCTCTGTCTGTGTTGATGAAGAAGGTCCCACTGAAATCCACAGCGCTGAACTCATCGTAACCTGGATTAAAATTGTAACTGTTAGACATCTACACCCCTTTGTGACCATGGACWTAAATCAGCATCTATTTATCTGGGCTACATACCAACAGCAATGCCAGGGTCACAGTTGACAGTCTGCACCAACTCTTTGCCTTGATGCCTCACCACCCAGTTGGGATCAATCTGTGAAGTACCCTTGGGGTCCAARGGAACCATCTGGAATCGGCGGAAGTCGGTTTCACTGATGTCAAAGTTCTCGGGGCACACGTCATTAATGTCCAGAACATTGTCTTGGTCAAAATCATCTTTGCACACATCTCCACGACCATCACCTGAAAGAAAGGTTTGGATAGAGAATTAGAAAGATTGATTTTAAAAAGGAGAAACCTTAAATGATCAAACATGTCATTGGTGTTTTGTAAACTCACCATCAGAATCCAGCTGATCAGGGTTAAACGCCAGTCGGCAGTTGTCCTTGTCATCGGGAATGCCATCATTGTCGTCATCGTGGTCGCAGGCATCTCCCTTGCCGTCCTTGTCATGGTCTGCCTGGTTGGCGTTGGGGATGTAYGGGCAGTTGTCCAAGTTGTTCTGGTGACCGTCCTCGTCAATGTCCTGGTTGTTGTCACACTTGTCTCCTATGAGGTCCGAGTCGGAGTCGATCTGCGAAGGAACCGAATTCCATTACGATGAGATGAGATTTCACAAAGACCAGCTCCTAACACTGAGATGCTTCTCTTCAAACAGCGTCTCCTTTCATGGTTTTTCAACAGCCTCCATATGAGAGGTGTTACCCTGGATATAAATGCTGCCCCTTGTTCTCAGGTATGCAAGAAATGTTTCTACATGCTTCTGTGCAGTGCCCTATCGAAATTATTCATTCAGAATTTACTGAAGCTGGATGAGCATAGAAGCAAACACAATAAAGTCCTCCATCAGAACTGTCACATTCCTAKGKTYMWWAAAATTTATAAGCTTGACCTGTGTCTTTCATTTAAACTAAAATGTGTCAATCAGTTAAGCTAAGATAAAAGAAAACTTTCAACTTTACCTGGTCTGGGTTATGCTCCAGAGGACAGTTGTCACAATGATCTCCCACTTTGTCCCCGTCTGTATCTCTCTGGTCCACATTGTAAACATACGGGCAGTTGTCATTCTCATTCAGAATGCCTGTTGAGTGAAAACACATTTATGTTTGTCTTTATGGATGCTTTTTGAAGACCGACCAAATGTGCTGACTTGATTTCATTTAGATACATTACTTACCATCACCATCAATGTCAACAGCACAGGCATCMCCCTCTCCATTGTTGTCTGTGTCTGCTTGGTCGGTGTTGGCTTCAAAAATGCAGTTGTCACAGCTGTCGCCAACATCATCCCTGTCTGCGTCATACTGGCCGGGGTTGTACACTCTTGGGCAGTTGTCCTAATTTTATGAAAATATATAGACTTCATAACTAAAATGGGTCACAACTGAATATAAAAATATGAGCTTTTAGGCAACAATTTTTGATTTTCCACTTTAAAAAAACTTTGGCTGAAATGCTATATTCCACTARTAATTTTTACCACATGCATTTTTCTTGCCCAACTTTCCAAATCCACACTAAGAATTATGGGCAACCAGCCACCTCATCCTCAGCTCTGGCTTTATGTGAAAATTATAGTACATTATTCCTTCGCTACTGACTTTCCACTGCAACTCTCTGGTGAAAGGACAAACAACTTGAGCACTTTTGCATTCTTACTGCCCAGAGGAAGGGTGGCTACAGCTGATTGCTATGTGTGGTCTCTGAGGACAGCATGGCTTGGGGCTAAAAAAACCCTTAAAGTTTACTCACCCTATCATCGGGAATTCCATCATTGTCATCATCATGGTCACATTCGTCTCCAAGGCCATCTTTGTCGTGATCTTCTTGCCCAGAGTTGGGAAGATTGGGGCAGTTATCCTATAGAAGAACAAAGGAGAGGTTAAGAAGGCAATCATCACAATGAGAGGAGGGKTGGGGTGGTTTGAAAGTGTCCTTGTCCATGTGTGGTTACCTTACCTTTTTGCAGTGATAAGTGGCGTTCTCCACACACACCAGATCAGTGTTGGGCCATCCATCCAGATCAGTGTCTTCTCCGCAAATGCGGCCGTTCCCAGCATACCCTGGCCTGCACTGACAGCGGAACATGGACTCGGAGAAAACGCCCAAGTAGATGCAGTTTGCATTTTTATGGCAGTCGTGGCTACCATCCTTGCATGGGTTACGGGGAGTGCAAACCTAAAACAAATTACAGAGAGTTAAAAAAATTGCAAGCTGTGTGTGTCTTAGCCCAAACCATGGCAAATAATAAACAATCCAAACCTGTTTCTTAGCAGTGGCCTGTTCCACTCCTCTTCCGAAGGGTTGAGGACCAGAAAACCGTGCAGGACAGAGAAGGCAGTTGTAACCAGGCTCAGTGTTCACACAGCGATGGATTCCGTTAAGACTAAAGCAAGCATCCGGGACCTCTTTGCACTCATCAATATCCTTGCATGTGATCCCGTCGCCTGTGTAGCCAAGTGGACACTTGCCGCACTCAAAAGAGCCRTCAGGGAAGCTGGTGCACTTTGCCCCAGGGAAGCATGGGTTGGAAAGACAGCCATCTGAGGACATAAAGATATTTTACTTTTAAAAAGTGATCGCTTGAGAACTGAGTAGTTTTTGTGACTTCTTCCAAAGTTCAGACACATACCAATAGGGCAGTCCTGTTTGTTGCAAACTCGAACCATTGTAGCATCACCAACACAATCCTTTCCTCCATACTTGGGTTCAGGGTCATTGCAGAGATGCTTACGGGTTTGGATACCCCCACCACAGGTAACAGAGCAAGAATCCCATGGTGACCAAGGGCCCCAACCTCCATTGACTAAAAAAATAATAAAGAATAATTGCTATTTGAATCTGAATACTTAAAGTCTGCAACAAATACCTCGGTGCAGGCGTGCAACTCACCAGGGCAGGGTGACATTTTGCAGACTTTGGTGTGACGTCCCTCTCCCTGACAATCCCTGCCCCCCATCTGTGGTGTGGGGGAGTTGCAGAGGCGGATTTGTGTCATGACCCCTTCACCACAAGTCACAGAGCATGATGACCAGGGCGACCAGTGGCTCCAGCCTCCGTCCTGTTTGACTGTAAGGAAAGCACAAAGTCATTTTAATTCACCACAGTCATGAACACGTAGGAGCGGTGTTTAGCGTGTTCAGTGACTCACAGCGTTTGTCACATTCCTGCAGATAGCAGTCACGGGTCTGCACTGAGGTGCCTTCACACTTGCTGTTGATGCGGTCACAGGAACGTCCACGCTGCTGGATGCCGCGGCCACAAGTCACCGAACAATGGGTCCAGTCAGACCAGGCAGACCAGCCATCCTCTGCGTAGTCACTTGCTRTAAGGGACAGATGAAAAGTAATTGATTAAATTAGTTATTGGTGAAAAGAAAATGTGACTRGGTTGCATGGATTTGAGGAGAAACATACGCGTTCCACAGCGAGGGCAGCATTCTCCATCAGGCACAGTGGCGTTGGCACATGGGATGAGAGGGCAGGAGATTTTGCGACACACGGTAGCAGAGTTCTGCATGGTGGAACATTTTACAGGGGTTAGACGGCTGGGGGCAACAACATTAACAAAAATGACTTGGTTGATTCTGTTTGAAGCCTTATAGCTAAATTTTCAAAATGAGATTTTTTATTAAGAGAAATTAACACAGCTGCTGTATTAAAATGAAAAACCTTGAAGCTTTCCCACTACTATGGGTACACAAATAACTTTCACTAAAAGGTGAGAAATAATAAAACCCAATACCACAAGTGGACAAAATTGTTGGTACCCCTCATTTAGTTAAGGAAAAACTCGCAATGGTCACAGAAATAACTAGAATCTGACAAAAGTAATAATAAATAAAAAGTCTATGAAAATGAACAAATGAAAGCCAGACATTATTTTTCAACCAACAGAATAAAAAAATAAAACTCATTAAACAGGCCTGGWCAGAAATGATGGTACCCCTGAAAACAATGTGACTAGACTTGGTAAATCAAGGTGAGTCCACTAATWAKCATCACAGGTGTCTACAATCTTGCAATCAGTCAGTKGGCCTGTATATAGGGCTACAGATMCTCACTGTGCTGTTTGGKGACATGGTGTGTMCYACACTCAACATGGACCAGAGGAAGCAAAGGAAAGAGTTGTCTCATGAGATTAGAAAGAAAATTATAGACAAGCATGTTAAAGGTAAAGGTTATAAGACCATCTCCAAGCAGTTTGATGCTCCTGTGACCACAGTTGCACATGATATTCACAAATTTAAGATCCATGGGACTGTAGCCAACCTCCCTGGATGTGGCCGCAGGAGGAAAAATTATGACAAATCAAAGAGATGGATAATATKAATGGTAACAAAAGAGCCCAGAAAAACTTCTATAGAGTTTAAAGGTGAACCTCAAGCTCAAGGAACATCAGTGTCAGGTCGCACCATCCCTCGTTGTTTGAGCCAAAGTGGACTTAATGGGAGATGACCAAGGAGGACACCATTGTWGAAAACAAATCATAAAAAAGCCAGACTGGAATTTGCTAAACTACATGTTGACAAGCCACAAAGCTTCTGGGAGATGTCCTATGGACAGATGAGACAAAAAGAACACTGTCCCTATACTGTGAAACATGGAGGAAGCTCTGTTGTGTTTTGGGGCTGCTTTGCTGCATCTGGCACAGGGTGTCTTGAATCTGTGCAGTGTACAATGAAATCTCAAGACTATCAATGGATTCTGGAGAGAAATGTGCTGTTTCAGTCACAGGTCATGGGTCTTGCAAGAGGATAAAGACCCAAAAAATACAGCTAAAAACACCMAGGAATGGCTAAGATGAAAACATTGGACTATTCTGAAGTGGCCTGACCTAAATCCCATTGAGCATCTTTGGAAGGAGCTGAAACATGCCATCTGGAAAAGGCACCTTTAAAACCTGAGACAGCTGGAGCAGTTTGCTCATGAGGAGTGGGACAAAAYACCTGCTGAGTTAAGTTACAAAAGAAGTTACAGGAATTGTTTGCAGTTATTGCCTCAAAAGGTTGTGCAACAAAATATTAAGTTAAGGGTATCATTTCTGTCCAGGCCTGTTTCATGAGTTTTATTTTTTTTAAATTCTGTTGAAGCATGGTTGAAAAGCAATGTTTGATTGTCATTTGTTAATTTTTATAGTTAATTTTTATATATTTTTAYATGTATTACTTTTGTCAGAGTCATTTCTGTGACCATTATGGGTTTTTCCTTCATTAAATGAGGGGTACTAACAATTTTGTCCACGTGTGTACATTAATGATTTTAGACAGAGTGCTGTAGCTTTCAGAAAGGGGGAAAAATAACAGTTAAGAAAGGTCCTAATACAGTATAATGAAAGAAATGCAGCATTYCTGAACTGAAGCTTACCTGACAGGTACACTCAGTGCAGCCGTCCACTGTCCATTCATCTTGATCCTTGTGCACAATCCCATTATAGATGCAGACACCACTGTGGATGTCCATCAGATTTTTCAGAAGCTGGCTATCTGTAGACTGAGGGGGGAAAAAAAGAGAGCGTGAGAGTGAGAAGAGTTTGCTAGGACAGAGGATGGAAAACTTTCACTTTGCCAAGGTTCCAGTACAAATGAACCACGGACAGCACTGTGATTAAGGCACTGCTGGAATCTCGGAAAGCTCTGCAAATATGACTGACAGCCAAACATATCTGCGCATTCACAAGCATCTCATTAAGGATTTAGCCGGGAGACTGACAAGCGGCGGCCAGACACGCTTGATGCAGCAGGAAGGACAGTGAATTAGAGCTTACCACTTTCTGGAGCTCATATGACAGCTGTTTAACGATAACAGTGAGTCCCCGGAGCTCCTTAAACATGGTGGTGATGTCCTCACAAGTGAAGCCGCAGACAGTGTTCAGATCTGGACGAGAGAGGAGAGCAATTAATTATCTCGACRCTTGAAAGCTGACAAGTGGAGCGAAGACACAGACATGACATATGGGAGGAGAGGTGTAACCTTTGGATTTGTGGCCAGTGTAATCAGTCCTAATAGCAGGGCTGGAACCATTAACCGGGTTATCCAGGGTCATGACATCGGTTAGGGCTGCTGCAAGGGGAGRGARGATATWTTGATTTCTAATGACTCTGACACARTTTATTTATTGAATGGAGGGTTTTAAAAGACTTACCTCCACTRTGGCATCCCTTATTTCTTAGAATGGTTTCCAGAGTTGTGCCAAACACGAAGTGAACATTCTGAAGCACACCCTTCAAGATAAAGAAAAAACATCGAAATYTTAAATTATCAAACTTTATCAGTTATTCAGTGAAAATAATATAAGTTCATATATCTTCTTACCATGAACTTGTCCTTTGCAGCCCCCTTTCCAATCCTGAGTCTAGCTTTGTCTGCCAGCTCCCGGGCCAGCAGGGTCTGGATGGGCACATCCAGTTCAGACACATTGATCTCCTCGCAGCCAACAAACAGCTGAGCCCTGTCCTCCTGGACGAACAGYGTCAGGTTCTTCCAGTGTCCATTGGCCAGGTCCGCGTCCTCGATGGAGACCACCTGCAGCTGGTTCTCAGTGGAGTACACCAAATCCAGGGTGTTCGCCTTGCCATTGGAGATGATCTCGAAGACGGGCCCGGATCCGTCGGTCTTCTCGATGGTCAGGAGGCTGCCCCGGGTTTTCTTGAACTGCTTCAGGTTGATGAGGAGGAGGAAGCCGCGCTCGGCCTGGATGGAGTCGAGGAGGTCCCTGAAGGAGCTGTCGGGGAGCGGGGGGATCAGGTCTGCGTTCAGGACTTTGTACGCGGGGCTGTATGGGTCTGCGCCTTTGACCAGACTCACTCCGTTGTGTCTCTTATTCACCCGAACCAGGTCAAATAAATCATACACACTGTTGTCACTGTGACTCTCTGATTTTTAAAAGAAAATAGAAAAGAAAMGAAAGTCCAGGTTAGATTTCATTCTTTGAATGAAAACAAAAAGAAAACTAGAGCCTAAAATGTATTTAGGAATAACTCGCTGTGCTGAATAAAATAAAATAAATAAAAGTAAGAAAACAACATTAATTGTCTGCTCTCACCTGCCAGTCTTGCACTCTCACAGCTCCACAATAGAAAGAGCAAAAAGATGCCACACAGCATCATCTTCAAATCTAAAGAAAAACTCCTGAAAAAAAAATCCCAAAAATATTCATGTTATAAATCACATGCAAGCAGAAACCGGGCATTAAAACACAGCAATAAAGATTTCGACCAACCTTTGAATGAAAAAGTATCTCAAAAATAATAAAAATTAAAATTAAAAAGGAGCTCCTGCTTCAATATAAATCCTCTTCTTTTGTTCTTTAAAAAAGTTCCAAAGTTTCTTTATTCTYCCTTTCATTCAACTGACTTCTGCTGGTGTCTTAAGTGGTTTTTATGCACTCAGAGGACATTCCTCAACTCCTGTTTGGACCAATCAGGCGGCTGCAGGAGAAAGGGACGGACTTCTTACCTCACAGACAGTCAGAGGAATTATCCGAGACGCACAGAGGGGAGACAAAAATATGCATTCCTGAGCTGAATTTCCATCACCAGACAAATATTTCATCTGCGCAACAAAAACCAGGACTTGGTCGTTTCCGGTCAAACAGACCTTATCGACCTAATTGTGCCAATTATGGGATATTGAGTTTACTCAAAAAATAACTGTCCTTAACTGTCTAATATTTATTTTATTTTATGATCTTGATCATAAAGATTAAAAATAAATACCCAGCAGAATCAGATAAATAGAATCAGACCATAATCATTAAGCTTTATTTCTTAACTTGTGTTGATTTTAAGCTGGTTTTTGTGTCAGGCAGCATGATGTTCCAGCTCTTCTTCTTGGGTTGTTATTATTACTTTGACCACCAGGGGGCTCAAGGAGTAAAGAACAAAATGTTCTGGTCCACAACAAAGAGATGGAGATTATAAAAAAAAATCTTGTCTTTCGGTCTTTATGTTGCAATTAATAATAAATTTTAAAAAAAGTCAAAAGTTACAAGTTTGTTCAGTTACACCACATATTTAAATATAAACAATTCTATGACATATCAAAAACTTTGCTGAAGTCACTGTTTTAAGTCTTAAATTATGTGCTTTAATWAGTAATTTATTAGTTTCAAGTCAAGTCCTGCTCTAATCATTTTGACATAAAATCATTCGTGGTAATGCTTTGCTATCAGTAAATTATTGCTGCATTAACATACAGCGAAAGCATCAGTCTTTCAGTTTGTCATAAAGGGAGATTTACACATTTTTATGTAAGGGTAAGAAAACAGCTGTTAGATGAATGTGATGTTGCAAAACATGAAATATTATCTTTTGGTTGAAGTAGACGTATAGAACTTTAGATTAGGTTAGTCACACCACTACTTATCAAATTATTAATCATTGAGAACGAATGCCAACATTTTATTTTAAGCTATATACCTCTGAAACAATATATATTTATATTGGTCAATGATCTCTTTAAAGAAAGGTAAAATAGATTCTAGGTGAAACTGCAAACCACTCAAACATTTAGAACGTATAGAACTTATAATATAATTTCATTATAAACTTAATGTGTTTCCACGAGGCCACAAAGTTCTTTTCACCTTCGCCCCAGTTTCTTAGAAATCATGACATCCCTGCTCTACAAAGGGTTTAAGTTTACAGCAGCGCATTTCGCCTTTGGCCTTGTGCCCTCTCCCTCTGTTCTTTTTCACCACAAAAGTGAAGTCAGAGCTTCTGATGGGGACTGACTGGCTTCAGTTCATCCATCATTGCCTTTTCAAAAGTAAAGATTGGTGTTTGTTCATCAAACAGCACCAGGAAGCTGATGCTAATGCAAAGACGAGCTGAGGAAYGAGAGAGCGAATGTGACTGAGATGAAAACCTTCTGGAAAGATGAGGGGAACACAGAGGCGCCTGCCTGCTGGGATGACTTGTGCTCAAAAAAAGTGAGGGGCTGTCTGGCTAAAAATAGGCCCCAGTGCTGGGACTGGGATGAGACACAACATGTGGATGCCAGTTCTTCCGCCAGCATCTGCAGGAACTCAGGTTTTTCTTTTTTAATTACCAATAGTGTTTTAGTGACGTGTAGGATTTACAGCACATTCTCACCTTAGTGAAACAGGAGTTGATGGGGCAGAAGTGAAGTTTCCAAGGTCAGACTGTTATTCGAGTGGAAAATGGCTTCAGGGCTGTGAAATGGGATCAAGGTGTGGTGGTTTAATGGAAAAGAATTTTGGAGATATCGTAGGTAGGTGTGACTGGACACATCTTTCTTTCTCCATCGGCATTCATGTGAGCTCACGGTGTGGGAAAGGACTTGCTGAGATCTAATAAATACCTGCCAGAGTCAAAGCGGAATCAGGCCATAGATAGAAAGTGTTTACCCTGAGCGGGTTCCTTTGAATTTTTCTCCCTCTGTTGGAGCTTTAGAACAAAGTCAGTGGGAGGGAGTCCAATTGTACCTAATCGTTGCACGTGTCTGGACGGGTCCAGTTGAAGTTTCCTCATATTGCTGAGTTTATTTAGTCTGCACTTGAACAAGCAGCTGGATCAATACAAAAAAGGGGGAAAAAGATTGAATATCCATATATCTTGTTTTGGAAGAGTTCAAATTGGGACCAACCAATAAAACTTTGTCTAAAAAAATGTTATGACTGGGAYAACCTTATCCAAAAGGTTTGTATTTTAAACTCAGTAAATGTCTGTAAGACCTCTGTTTGTTTAAGCACTTAGAAAAGCTCTTGACATGAGCCAGTGTGGTTTGTTTACAACACAGTTTGGATGAAGTGTGGCTCCTCTGGCTGAGCTGGAAAATGACTAAACGTGAGCAGAGTGAGACACCAACATATTAATGCATTTTCCAAACTGTCACCTATGCTTCAAACAATCTCTAAAGCACCAGTTCTTTTGGTCATTCTCATTGTGCTCTGGTGATATCGTCAGAGAGWTAGATTTGTGAAGGTGCTGCAGTGGCGCTGTGGTCGGCGGACTTGTAATCATGAGGCTGCAGGTTCGAGCCCAGGTTGCATCAGGAAGGCTGTAAAAATGAAGGAAAAGCAACAAGATGCTATAAGTTTTATGTGAATCAGGCATAGAAAGCACTTTCAATCAGTCAAGGCATCTTCCCAGACCCATCACATCCTCCCACATGAGAGCTTTCATTAGCAGCCCCCCGTCAAGAGGACATCATGGGCCCCAACTCCTTAAGTCTGAGACGATTCCTCGAAACCTTACAGATGTTATTCTCCTTCATGGGGATGTAAGAACCTTACAGAAAAAAGCATCAGTGCAGCACTTGGGCTATTTAGGCTTTATGGTACGGAGATGCACAGTTATCTATGTTTGCAAAATGCCCAAGAAGCAGTTTCCTTTAACCCAAGAAAAGATTTTGGCTACATTTTGCTCAGGTGTGTGTGTGGAGGAAGCTCGTACTCTCAATTGTGTGAATGTTTATCCAGCWTTCACACAACTGACATCCATTCTTCTTCCGTATGTTTTTCAGCACGTATCTGGTTTTTGTGCTATTTCAACAACTTATATATCAAAACTTTCACATTCAGCATTTTATACTTTTTGACCATTTGGCCATTTTTGTCTCATTGCAAATGGATGGAACTGTCTTCGACATCCTTAAAACAATTTTTTTATGTTCATAAATCCTTAATGTACTTTTTTTTTTACCTTTTGTTCTTGTTCTGCATTTTTTTAACTCCTTTGTACTAATTTCAGCTTCTTTCAGCTCATATTTAGCTCATTTTAAGCTATCATTCTGACCTTTTCTGCTATTCTGCTAAATTAAACTTTTTGTGCTTCTTTCAGCTGCTTTCTTCTAATTTAAACTGTTTTCTGAGGTTTTTACGTTTTAAATTTTATTTTGCCTATTTCATCTTTTTTTGTGAAAATTTTGGCTTCTTACTGCTTAATTGAGCAAATGTGCTTTTTCTTTGTCTTTGTGCTTAATTTCAGCAACTTTAGCTATTTTTAAACTGTTTTGGGGCTTGTTTTAGCTAAATTGTTTAGCATTAAGCATTTACATTTCATTTCTGCATGAAATGTAATTTCTCTATAGTTGCAGATGGTATTTATTACAGTTTGGGAACATTTGGGAACATTTTCTACCAAAAACACAAGAAAACCCATTGAAAAACAGAAAGTTGAATGAGTTCTAAAATATTTAGATTAATCCTGACCAAAGTAAAGTCTCCTCAGGTTGTACACATAATCTCAGGACATGTTCAGATTTCAACAACAAGTCGATTCTGGACCTGAACCCACAAACACAAATTTCTGGGGAAAACCGACAATGGCTGTGTCCTGATCCAGTACGGTAACGCTTCAGTGCTTCTGCCAAGAAAAACAGAAGGAAACTACACGGAGGAAGGCGCGGTGAGCTTATGGGATGATTCCTGAGAACATTCTGTCATTTCTGCCAAAGGTACATGCACTAATTGAAGGGTCTGGATGCAAATTGGAGTTTGTTTTGAAACTACTTTATCATGGATGGATTGATGGTGGGAAGAAATTCCAATCTGAAATAGAAAGTAAAACTTTATTATAGAATTATAGAAATTCTAGAAATTTTCCAAAGGCTGAATGCATTTTTGCCTCCCTTGTTTGTTCTCTTCAAGCTTTTTTTCATTGTTAAAGCAGCAGAAATGATTGTTTATGACAGCATAGCAAAAKCATGCTGATAATCCGATGATGGACAGTTTATAAGGTTCACTTTAGGTAATAACCCATGTCACTCAACAAACTGCTCTTATCATGCTGATAGACTGAAGCTTTGACAAAGAGCTCACCTTGACAACAGGTCAACAAATGTCCCCATAGGTTCCAATTCGACACCCCTTGAAGCTTATTGTTATTTTATTTTTGCAGAAGAACATGCACTCAGGTGTGAGCCTGTTAACAGCCTTTTATTTGGCCGACAAGCTTCTCTTGAATGCGTCACATTTTGTTCATCACAAAACGTGCCCGGAGGCATCCGGCTGTGCGAAGCATGTTTAAGGAGAAGGAGGGTGGGGGGTGAGGGGAAAAAAAAAACTGGACAGTGAAAGTGGAAAAAGTGAGTAAGAGGCCCGTGTGGCAACTAGTCGCACACGGGACAAGATGAGTCACTTACAAAGTTAGAGAATGTGGTCACCGTTGAGGCGATAACAGATCACCTTGTCTAAACACAGGTGGTTAATCAGGTGTGGCCGTGCATGAGTGGAGGTTTGAGTGCGGTGTGCATAAACCTCAAAAAAGTTAAATAAAAAAACAGCAATCAACAGTGAAGCCGAAGGTTCCGCCGAGGAGATCTGGGAATTAAAACGTCCTCATTTATCAGAAGAACTGAGGGCAGCGAGTTGCTTGTAAGGAGAAAAGTATTTCTTCCGATCTTTCAGCTGTTTGGTCCTCAGGAGCAGCCAGAAARACTAAA